TGGACGTGACAAGAGACAGATTTGCATCATAGAAAGGAAGCTGGTCATTTTGTGGAGGATTGAATCTGGTATTAAATAGTTGTTTCTTTCTTTCCTTCAAAAAGAAAAAAGCTGGTTAAGATGTTTGGGTGTGACAATCAGACATCAGACTAATCTTTGATGAAAAAGACCCACAGAGCTGCAGCTCCTCCCCCAACCCCGTGTGCCCCCCCCCCACCCCCCCGCTTACAGACTGCAGCAGCCGCTCCACTCAATCTGTACCTGTGTACAAGTGAAAAAGTTTTTGGGGGAAAAAAAAGTACCTGCAATAAAGAAATGATGCAAAACAAGACGTTTTTGGTTCCTGATGGTTTAAGACGCTCTTCAAGAAAAGGAGGGATGCCAGGCTATGATTGATCAATTTAAAGATCATTTTAAAAAACATATTGGAAAAATATTTACTGCTAACAACATATTCTAAAGAAGACAGCAAAACACTTGCTGCTGAAAAGAGATTTAGTTGAAAAGAAAAGTTCAATTAAGACCACTTGAAAGAAATTTCTCTTTGACTCTTCAAGAATATTCAACATTCACAGCAGGTGTTTTGTTTAAAACGAAGGAAAAATCTGGAAGAAACAAACATCAAACCACCACAAGTTAGTTTAAAAACTACAGAATATTCTTCATGGGGGATTCCTCATTTTAGCTTTTATTTATTGGCTACAATGACTAGATGTGATGGAAGCCCAGTTCTGCCACTGATGAATAAGAAACATGTTTCTCCTAATAATGACCCAGCTATCTCATTATTAGGAGATAATATCTCATAATGATGTAATGACTTAGCTATCTCATAATGAGAGACTTGGTTCTAATAACACAGAACATCACTGAGCAAAACTTCAGACGTGCTCTTACAGATCTAGAAATCTTGCCAGTTTTGGAAGAATCCCATAAGTGGCCGCTTCATTCTGGATCCGGTGTAGCTTCACCTGAACTAACTTTAGTTTTTTTAAAAGGGTAGATTTAGAAAATTTGATCTGTTCTTAATGTTTCAGTGAAGTTCTAAGAGATTTTTGGAATGTAAATGCAACTGTGCATCTTCAGACCATCAGTCCCTTGTGTGAAGTTTTGTTTTTTATATATATATACATATATTAATAATTAAAAATAAATATAAACACATGTCCTATCTCCTGCTCTTGAATGATAGGGTAAATTCAGGATTATAAAGGGGAGCTGAACCCACCTGTGTTGCACACCTGGCTGCAGAGTTGTGTGGAAGATCACAGGCTGGGTCATTTCCAGTTCTAATCAGAGTCCTACACGCTTCTGCTGCCTCTGCTGAACTCTAACACCTGAGAAAATGATGACGTCTGCAGTTATAAACAAACAAGGAGGCAGTTGCTTTTTTTTCTTTTCAACTAATCCTTATCATTTTGTAAACATTTGTCTTCGTATTCAGTCAGCTAACGTTTCCTATCGGTGGGATAAATTGGTCGTTGGTCTGTGTTTGAATGGTAATGGCAGGTAATAACAGACATCTCACTTCATTTTAGAAAAACTAAAAGAATTCAAAACAGGCTCCAACAAAATCAAAGTGCAAGGCATCATATTTTATTTCAAAGGCCTAATTGGCGTTAAGGTACAGCATATTAAATATTGTTAGTCCAGAGACGGTCATTGCAGAATAACATACCATTCTTTTCTTTACATGATACATTCAGGCTGAGTTAAAATGTCGTATTTTACATGTTTTCATGTGTTAACGTAAAAAGGTGGTTAATGAGGGCTTTCGTCTGCTGCTGTCGACGGTATTTTGTCTCCTTGAATTCTGATGCCTGCCGTCAACAAACACCCGGTTAAGACACTTGATAGCTTCAGTCCGATTTCATCCCAGTGGTTACCTGTAGTGACCTGTAGTGACCAGTGGCTAGTAGCATCTGTTAGTGTAGAGGGTTCCTCAAACAGCTGTAGAACAGAATATATTTTACATCCCTGCACATAATGTTATATTTCAATAAATATAATAAATAAAAAGTACAAATATCTGAATAATATGGAATCAGATCATTATCAAAGGTATTTTCTGTCAGAGCCAAAAGCTGGGTCTGACAACATTGCTCAGTGGATGGACACTTTGAAAAGGCAAAGGCAAGAAACATGACTTTAGTGATGTTTTCAGCTTTGTAAAAAACTCAACAAAAAAATAAAAGAAATAAAATTCCGGTCATGATCAGCTTCAGAGGAAAAACTAAACAAAGTGGCAAACAAACAAACAAACAAACAAACAAACTGGTGCTCGTCCCGTCTGAGGAGGCCCGGAGAGTCTGACCCGGGTCCACAGACCCGGGTCCGCAGACCTGGAGAGTCTGACCCGGGTCCGCAGACCTGGAAAGTCTGACCCGGGTCCACAGACCGTTCAGGCCGGACTCTGGATGGTTGGTGTTGCTGGGACGCTGCCCCCCCCCCTACCGAGGGCCAGACCACCCCCCCGGGAGCCTCCTGGCCCTCGGCTGCCGTCCAGCCCCGGGGTTCAGTAATTGACCTTCCCGGGAACCTGCACGTTGACTCCGCTGTAGTCCACCATGTACATGGGCCACTGCTGCGGGGGGGCAGAGACAGGGAGACGGGTCAGACAGAGAGAGACACACACACACACACACACACACACACACACACACACACACGGCCTGCATCACATCTGATGTTATTTCTGTAACAACTGGAGGCCAAATCAGGAGACTTGACACAAACAAATTAAAAAAATCTGTTACAAACTAAATATTTGCACCAGCTGCCTTGTCTCCAGAGACCATTCAGAGAGAGAGAAAAGACAAAAAACAGAATGCACTGACTTTAAACTGGATTTCTGGAAACGGTACAGAGAGAATATTTCAAATCCTAAAACAAAGAACTGAACTTTTTCCCCAAAGGATCAATACTTGGGAACATAGTTTCTAAACAAAAGTTTAGAACAGAGGTTGTGAGGAGTTAATATCTACTTGTAAGATTGTTCCAAATGAAATGAAAAGACTGATGTCAGGGAGAAGCTTTACAGCAGCTGGAGGTGAAACTCTGTACATGAGCTCAGAGGAAACATAAAGGTTTCCCGACAGCCTCCAGGGCCAGCGGTCAGCTGGATCTGGGCGGTCATGGTGGCGGTGGAGGGCTGGAGGAGTCCTCTCCTCAGCTTAAAGGCAACAAAAGCTCCCTGATCTCCATCCCAGGCTGCGTGGGGACAGTGAACGCATCACTGGGACAGAGAACCAGAGCAGCCTGACTGCAGGCTATCCACAGCTCCTGTTCCAGAGCCGAACACGGCTCCCTTCATCTCCTGAGAGCCCAAAGCTGCTCCTGCTGACGTACCATCACTGGAATCTGATTGGCTGAGAGCCCCAGCTCGGCGGAGGCCGGCGCCCGCCCGCTCTCCTGGATTCTTTTGCGTTTCCGCCGGTTGGTCGAGGCTTCTGTTCCTGCTGGAGACACAGAGGGGAGGCTTTGACCCGGGCGGGGCCAGGGGGCGGGGCCAGGGGGCCTGACCCGGGCGGGGGGGGGGGAGCTGAACCCACCTGTGTTGCACGCCTGGCTGCAGAGTTCTGCGAAGGGCCTGTGTGGAAGATCACAAGCTGGGTCAGTTCCAGTTCTAATCAGAGTCCTACACGGTTCTGCTGTCTCTGCTGAACTCTAACACCTGAGAAAATTCTCATTTCAATGGAAACGTGCAGAAATCTGCAGGATTTGGAGCCTCTTGGCCTCGTCCCTCCACCAGAGCCTCCGACGGCTCAACATTGTTTGCTTCTCATATTATTTATATTTGCTAGGGAAGATTTATTCTGACATTTCTGAGGCGGGATTTAAACCCAGAGCATAAATAAACTCTAATGAGCTTAACTAGGGCGCAGCAGAACAGATCTGGAGAGGTGGCGGCGCGTTCAGGTGGCTCAGCACTCACTGCAGCGGGCTCTTGATGTTGAAAGCAATCTTCTGGGAGGCTTGGAGGATTTTCTCCAGGCACACGATGTCGTAGGTGTTTGGGTTGCGGAAGGGGATGTCGTCTGGAAGGCCACTGACTTCTACCGACTCCGGACTGCTGCGGATCAGCTTGTATGGAACCACCACGGTGCGGTCCAAGCCCAGAGCCTCGCCTGAACACACGCACACACACACACACACACACACACACGTTTTGTTGTCAGCTCAGAGCAGAAACGGAGCTGAACGGAGGGAAACTCAGCATTCAGACGCTGTTCAACCTCCCAAAAATCCCCACACCGGCTCCCGTTTGACTTTTATAGATGAAGAGAAATAATTAGGAAATAAATAAGTAATAGTCATTGTGGTGAATAATTTGATCCCTGTCAGAAATGTTGTGCATGATTTCCACGCCGTGTGTATTTAACCAATCTCCTTCAAACAGACGCGATTTATTTAGAAAAACGTCGCTGTCTGAATTCTGTAAGCACATTACAGATTTAATGTCAGTCAGAGATGAACCTGGAAAATTAGAGGTGCCTCCTCCCTTTTAGGATTACTAAAACCAAGTTTGACTGAGTGGATTTTTATGGGACAGAATTTAATGCTGCTCCAGTAGCTGAAGTTTAGTTAGAAACTAGAGAAAACACCATGTTTAATTTAGTTGAAAATTTGCTACAAGTAAAAAAAAAAAAAGAAGAAAAGTTGTGTTTTTTCATTGTCATTAAAATTCATATGAAGTTGACAAAGATGTTGCTGGTGGGCTGGAACAGTTGGACTGGTTTCTAACCTGGCAGAGCAGAATCTTACTTATTTTAATCTGGTGTGTAAAGTGGAGAGAAAGAAAAAAACCTTTAGAACCTTAAAACATTTAGAACCGTGTGAGAAATGTAAAGAACATTTAGACCTGTTCGGCAGCTAGAGGAATAACAGACCAGGTCAAGCTGTGAGAACCCACAGTGGAACCAGCTCCTCTCCTTCCTCGTGAGGTTAACACAACACGAACCAGCTGAGTTTATGTGGCAAACGTGTGTGTGTGACAGATCTAAAAACTGGAAAGTCAAGCTGTGAAGATTCAGAAGTGGATTTCAAAGAAATGGACCAGATCCGTATGTGAGCCCCTGGAGTCTCAGTCAGACTCAGAGCAGAGAGAAGTGTGAACACCAGCGTGAGAACAAAAACTGCTGAGTCACGGTGTCTACTTTCTGGTCTGAGGCCTCGGGCAGCTTTTCCCCTTGTGGTCCCAGACATGTGGATCTCTCTAAGCCAGGAGCTCTGGATCCTGACGGGTCCTCAGATTCTCCAGACCAGCAAGGCAGGGTTTTACTACACAAACCCTGTAGGACACACTTTCATAAAACAAGACCTGGGCAGAGGGAGTCCTGCGGCTGTGATAAACTGAGGAAGATCCCCGTAGGGCTGCACGGCCACCGCACGTGGACAGCAGCTGACCCACAGCTGACCAACAGCCAGCTTACCATACTTCTTATTGAACAGCTCCTTGACTTGCTCTCGCAGGACCACTTTCTCCCCCATGCGGCCGACGTCGTCCTCGTCTGCGGGGGACAGGGCAGAGGTCAGTGTCAGTGTCCACTCCCCCCCTTACCTGAGGCCGGCGGGGCCTGTGCTGCTCACCGCTGATGGAGGCGTAGGCTTTCTTTAGTAAGGTGACTCGGCGAGGCGCTGAGCAGGTAAACGGAACGAGAAGTGGAACGTTACTGCATCACATCTTCTGGTGTGCCGCTCAGTAAACAACATGCAGAAAGAAGAAAGTGTGCTCCAACCTGGTTTGGGGATTAGTCCTTGAAACGGTCTGCAAAAAGCCAGAAGTGGTACAAGCAGGTCAAGATCACTTCAACCACACTGAAAAACACTTCCTCCTCTCACATCTTCATGCCAGTGGAGCTACAGATCATCTCAGCTAGCCACACAACACAGGGTGCCCTCTAACACAGGGGTCTTCAAGGTTTTCCAGGCCAAGGACCCCCAAATTGATGGTGAAATGGAGCGGGGACCCCCTAATTATATATACTGTATGAAATTGTGGTGGTCCTATAGTGTGGAAATGTCCCTTGTTATTGGGCATTCATTACTAAGATCCTCAGATAATCCACAGGTTGATATCTTCCTGTTTTTATAGTAAACATCTGGTTCTGGTTCCTGGTTGGTGGGACAGGTGTTGTGAATGAAACGGGGCCCAGCCTGAAAGAGCTCCTGTGTGTGGCTGAATGTGAGCGTTGATGACTGGAAGACCTCTTCTGTCTCCATTAATCTGTTTACTACAGTGTGTTGGACTCATGTTCATGTGGATTTAAAGATATTTACATCAGTGGAAAAAATTACAGGGGGGAGGATGTATAAAAAAAAAAAAGTCTAATCAACCAAAACTTTCTCGACCCCCATGCAGTACGTCCGCGGACCCCCTAGGGGTCGCGGACCTCCTGTTGAAGACCTCTACTCTAACGGGTCCAGACACAGGACTGGAAAGAGGGCTCTCTGTGCTCACACCTGGTGATGGTGAAGCTGATTTTGTCCGCCACGGCCAGGATTCTCTCCAGGTTCTGGGAGCCGAAGGTGCAGGGCTTCCTGAAGGGGATGCCGGGGGGGAGGCCCTCGATGATGACCGAGTCTGGGTTGTTCTTGATCCTCTTGTAGGGGACCTGGACCGGGTACTTGATGCCCAGCGCCTCGCCGTACTTCCTGTTGAAGAGATCCTGGACCTGCTCCCGGAGCGTGTTGGCCAGGTCTATCCTGGACAGCTTGGACTCCATGCACTCTGGACACATGGAACAGAGGAGCCTTTGAAGCTTCATGTTCATGGTCCTTAACCGATCTCAGCCCTACAGCCAGCGAAGCCATACGGATCACGGCCGTACCGGAGAACCCGGGTCTCTTGGATATGGATGCGGCGTCTTCTGTGACCGGCGCCGCGTCCTTGGAGTCCAGTTCTGAGGGAAAACATCACATGTACTGGACACAACAAACTAAGGCAGCAGTCGCCCCTCTTTCCAGATCAGACACACATTCAGGAAATTCCTGTTTGCTTTTGTCGTTTAAAAAGTGCTCTCAACATCAGAGCATAAGCTGAGTTAGACAAAAGAGTTACATTTACTCATTGAATTGACGTGGTTTTATGTCCCTGCAGCATTTTCTGCTGGTAAAGTATCACATTTTTAACAGAGATAACATAAAGCGTCCACAATGAAAAAGAACTACTCGACTAAAGTACGACATCATTTCATTAACAGTCCAAGCTGCTGTGAGATATTTTATCTTCTCATCATAATGAAAATGAGAGAAACATACCTGCATCACAGACAGCGATGGAAGGCATCTCTTGTTTTACTTGTTCGGTTAAGACCTCCGGCCTGGAAAGACACGTGGCCATTAAATACTGACTGGATTTCTGATCTTAAATGTAGCTTTTAGGAAGTGATGCTGGTCAAGGTCTGCTCCCACCTTTTGATGACAAACTGGATTTGATTGCTAACAGCCAGAATCTTGCGCAGTTTGGCTGCTCCGAAGCAGTTGGGCCTCCGGAGGGAGATTCCCTCTGGGAGCCCCGTCACGTACAGGTCCTCTGGGTACATCTGGAATTTGGAGTACGGCACCTTGGCCGGCTCAGGAAGGCCTAGAGCTTCGGCTGTGGAATGACATCAGGATAAAAAACGGCTACCGTTTAGTGGTTTTGCCCAAAACTTTTTATGAATATAAAACTGCTAAGATCTAGAAGCCAAAACATTTAAACACTCACACAATCAAACACACCAAAAGAACAACCGACTAACACGAAATAGAAAACTAGAAATCTTTCCTACAAAGAATATAACTTCTAAACAACTTCTCTGCTCCTTAAAGAGTATATTTCCAAAAATTACTAAGACGTACTTAAACGCACAATGTTAGGCTCAGTCTGGGGTCTTTCCTTTGAAGGTAAAAAACCCATCAGTGTACTTTTTTCCTGTTTTAAGGGGCATCCTCAGCCCCTGGATGATTCATGACGCAGCTCAGAAAGCTGTTTGTGTGTTGCTTTGTGCAGGTGTGCGTTTTAGACACTATTAAAGTCCCAAACTGCTGTAAGATCTGATTTATCCAGATTCTGAAAACAATCAGTCAATATGAAGGGTACCTGTACCCAACATTTCCGTAGTAGTTATTTGCATCTCTAAATAGAAATGATCTCGCTGAAAAACCCCAGCCCAGTGGTAATCCACTGCACAGGGAGAGATGTGGAGGAAACATCGCCCTCTTCCAAAGGATTCTGGCTCCGCCTCTTTTTACTTAAAGTCTGCCATGAAAACCAGATTCATATTTGTCATGACCGGCGGTTTTCTCCATTTTGGCTTTCTGATTTTTGCTTTAAAATCTTAAACATCATCCGTTTTTGAATGTGAAAATGACTTTATGCTGGGTTTGGGATGCGACCAGGTGATCAACGTCTTACAGCCAAATGAAGGGGACATGCATAGCCTCCTGCTCCCCCATGAGGGAGGACTAATAAGTTCCAGATTAGCTTACCGTACTTAATGCTGAACAGGCTCTCCACTTGTCTTCGGAGCTGAAGAATCATTTCACCAATGTCCTCCACCAGAATCCCGGCTGAACAAGTCAAGCAAATGAAATGTTTGCATCAAGGCAGCCAAAATGGATTTCTGAATGCCAGAAAGTAGCTTTCCACCTGTGAGAATGATTGCCTCGCTAATCGCTAAGCTAATCTTTCTCAAATCTATTTCCGCTGCCTCACACGGGCCTGGCAATGAGAAACCTGTTATTCAGAGCTTATCAACAAATGGATGTGGGGCAGGGGGGGGTGTTAACAGTGCCAAATGGTTCTTAAAACCAGAATGAAGGATTTCTTTAGGTGGGAGGAAGCTAATGACATTTTCACACCCGTTTCCTTTATAGACTCAACAAGTTTAAACTCTGAAACGTGCCAGATGTGAGACGAGACAAACCTACCTTCTGAAGGTCGTCTAATGCTCTGGGAAGCATCACCAGGTGATAACGCATCAGCTGCAAGACGCAAGGAAAAAAGATGAGAAGAACAAACGGACACATGCAGGTCCTTGGATCTGCAGATCTTAAGCTCTTTAGTCTGAGTGTACACAGCAGATGTGCAAATGAACAGATCTGGTGCTAAATGAACTGCCTTTAAATGAAGTTGTGTGATGGTTTAAAGTTGTGGTGATGCGTTACTTCTGATAAATGAAAGAAACATACTGAACAGGAAGAGCAATTAAGTCTTTTTTTGGATATATTTTAATCTACTAAGTATTTCAAACTCCTCAAGAGCTGCTTTAATTGAATATTTTCTCTTAGATTAATCATTAGTCTTTAACCCGTGCTGTTAGAATGGGCTTTTTGAAACTTTCCAAAGTGTCTCATTAGGGGAGTGTTTTTGAGGTTCTTTATGAAACCAAGAAGCTTCACAGCTGCTTAAAAGGAGGTTTTTGTGGAGGTTGAGTGGAAAACAACCACAGGAAAGTTTATCAGCCGGTGAGAATGTTCAGTGATAAGCAGCTGCAGCTGGGGCAGAAGCTGGAGACAACGGTTGGTGTGGCTTCATCCGTTAAACAGAAAGTCCTCTCACAGTTCTGGGTTTACTGTGTAAGCAGTGCTTTCTATGTGGGACACCTGGCTCCATTTCCCATCATACATGTCTGAGCGGGGAGGCGTGTCCCCCCCACAGAATCACAGGAGAATCTACACACAGCTACAGTAATGCTGAACGTGTAATCGGCTGCACTTACCTTCACTTTGTCTCCTTTAGAGGTCATTTGTGAAAGAAAAGAAAACTTAAACAAAGCACAATCAAATGAACAAAATAAATCAAAACGCCTCTAGAAACGCTAAAACCAAGATCACTTTGGGTAGACTCGTGAGTTTCCAATGTAAGAGATGCTAACTCCCTTACACGCTGAGGCAGAATAATCTGATGGACAACCAAAAAAAAGAGTTTAACAGTTCTAAAAAGTCTACAAAGATGGTAAATAACCAACTTATATACATTTAAAGATTGTTCCATTTTAGCCCTCTGGGGAAACTCCCAACAGTGGTTTGGTGTTTTTATTGAATGTTATTTCCTGAAAGGCAGCATCCCTCCCAAGTCTACCCAAATGCTCCTGGTGATCTTACTCTACTGATCTAAGCTTTCAGGAGGGAGTTCTATGTGGGTTTGGGTGGGACTGGGGAGACTGGGAGGAGCTGTCAGGAGCAGAGTGGTCACAGATATGACTAACTGTCGTAGGCAGAAGGACGAGAGGACTCTCAGAATCTGTAAATGTCCACAATGCATCTGTCTTATTCTCCAACCAGAGCTGTGAGTTTCAGTTTGTCATCAGAGTGGCAGAGGCCTGGTGTCAGGGCCTCTAAGCCCCAGGCCTTTAGCTGCTGCAGATGCATGGTGGTGTTCACAGATGAGAGCTCATCCTCAGGGGACAGCCACTACGGGAGGCTAAACTGAGGGGTAAGGGACATTTGTAAGATTTGGGGGTGTGGCAACTAGCGACTGGGGAGGTTTTGGTCATGAGGAAACAAAAAAGTGAAAGTCAAAGTGTCTGGAAAGAGACGTTTCATACGTGCTGGCGTGTGTTTAGCTCCCTAAAATAGGCCAGTGTGCAGAGGCAGTTGGGGGGGCATTCCAGGAGCTGCACGTGAGGAAGGAGATGACACGGAGGTGTGAGGGCTGTGAGGATGGGAGCTTACCCGAGTGGTTTTCCAGTGGGTGATGGGGCCCTGAGGGAGCTGGGGGGGCGGCCGGGGCAGAGGGGGTGGGAGGGGTGGTGGGCGAGGCTGTGGCTGGACATGGTGCGAATGCAGCCGGGTCAGCCACAGACTCGCCGGGCTCCTCGCCGCCCGTGCCAGCATCTGGACAGGAAAAGGGAAGGTGTGGGTTAGCTTTCACCACTTCAGGAGGTTTAAGCTCTTAAAAGATGATGTTTACGTTGTCAGAATGTAAGATGCTCAATGTTAAAATACTGATAAAATCCTGTCCAGCAGCGGGTTTATATTCTAATGCACACATTCCTGCTGGACTTTTGTTACAGGAAGCGTGGCACCAGAAGGTGTCACAGGAAAGAACATTTGGAATTTAATTTGACACATTCTTGTCCTGTAGATCGGCTCAGCTGTTGGCTTGACCTGTGGAAGCAAGCTGATGTTTGTGAGGGCTGCTTTTAGCTTTTCTCTGTGTTGCATTACTTCTCTGTATCAGTCCTTTCCTGAGAAATCCCCAAAATACGTTCATTTCCACAGTAAAAATATTCTATAAAAATAACAGTGGTGCAATTATTTTTTTTAATTTCAAATTGATCCAAGACATTATGAGCATCATTTGGTGCCAAACTGAGTCGAGTTTTATTTATTCCTCCAAATGAGGTGTCGGCTGAGCCTTCGGGCAGAAAGGGCCCACCCACAGGAGATGACAAATTAAACTGGCAAGTACAAAACTTTAGTTTTTGTTGTAACTGCCAGCCAGTGGGTACCCCAAGAAGAGAAGATAAGTAATAAACAATTCCATTATTATCTTTTGCTGAAGTCTGAAAATGGGGGGGGGGGGGGGTTTTTATAAGTCAACAAAAAAGAGAGTTGGACGGTGGTGCGTGAACAAGTGAGGACCATCTGGAGGAGCTTAGGTCCATCTGAAGGACTGTACTGATGTACATGTCAGTTTAAAGGCATCCTGTCACCAACGCCTGGTGAATCAGCTCCTGAAAGCCCACCTGGAGGCTGCGTTTTCTTTTTTGGAAGAGGACAATTGCCAAAACTAGGGGATGCCAGGCATCTGCTCTCTTACCAGGCACGGTGACTTGAATGATTTCCCCGTCTGGAGGCTCTGTTTTAATCCTTCGCAGAGGAATGCAGTCTCCTGAAGGACCTGTGGGGATTCAACAGTTCACTCCACTCGAGTGTGGCACCGGGTTTAATGTGTGCGTTACAATAGCTCTGAGTAGCAAGCGCAATATGCTGGAACTGATCAGACTGCACAATGAGCAGAGCATCAAAGAGCGCTGTCATTGGTTGGGACGTACCTGCTTCGAAGTCAGCCAAGGGACTCACACAAGCACTTGTTGATCTAAAAAGCAGAATCAAATCCATGCATGTGATAAGCAGCTTGTGAAAAAAAGAATAGGAATGAATCATATTTGTCATGATTAGTACTTTTCTGTGTAACGGAATCTCTGGACTCTGGATGCAACAAGAATCCAGGACAAACAACCACACGCTCTCACAGGGGGAATTACGAGTCACCGGTTAACCTGACATGCATGTCCCAGAACCAGAGGGGTCCCCTTTAACCCCCAACCCCCGGGGGACCTGAACCGGGAACCCTCTCACTGTGAGGCGATGGTGCTAACCACCCCACCAGATCCCACTCTGCTCAGTCATATTAATGTTCAATGTAAAAAAATAAATTAAATAAATAAATAAAAGTCTAACACATTTTTTTTTCAAAGCTGGTCTCATGATCGTAATGTAAATAATAACATCTATTAAACTCTGTGTTTGAACTGCTTAATGAATAGGGCATCAGCCAGTCCTCATTATGGTTATCATGCTGGCTAAAAGTGGACCGTTTGGTTCCCTCTATCCACACTTTAAACAGCATCTCTGTGTGGGTTCGGGTTGGTGCTCCGACCTGCTGCTGTGAGGATTGCTGACCAGCTCGGAGGCGGTGGGGGCGGCCGGGATGGAGAGACTGTCTGAGAAGCTGTCTTCAGGCGGGGAGCCCAGGTCATGCTTGCCCTCTTCTCTTGCCATCTTGCCAGCAGCTTCAACAAACAAGACACAGAGGATAAACAAACCCGGCCTCCAATTAGCAGAGAACATCTGTGGGGTGTCTGTATGTACAGAAAGTCTTGTCAGAGCAGTTTTCTGTTTGCCAGTTACTCGAAGTATTAAAAAAAGATGCTGATAAAAAAATCATGAAGCTTAATCCTGGGTACAAAAGTTACAAAGCATTCTTCATTAAAGAAAACCAGGGCTAGTCTAGATCCAATCAACTAATAAATCTGTCTTTCATAAAGTTTTTCATCCCTAAGAAAAGTTTTGGCAGCTGAGTAAGTGAGAAAATACTTTAATCAATTTTTAAACTTTCCATAATTTATTATTATATCACAATATTATTATTATTATTGTTTTATAGATGGAGAGTTGCATGGAAACATCTTTTTTCTTTACAGGTATGAACAATATAAATAAGTTTATATAATATCTGATAATTAATAATGTTAATAGAATTCTGCTGGGTACAAACTTTGCCTGTCTGGCTGAACATTTCCATCTTTAATGAGTGGATTTAATGGAGGAAGTCAGCCAGATCAGCTGGGTCTTCACTACTGGGGCCAGATCGCACTTCAGGCGCTTGCAAAATTGGTATTCAAACAAAAACTAATGAATCACAGTCTTCTTACCTGTGAAAATCCTTTCATCGAACATTCTGAAATATAAAGAGAAAAACATCCTGTTAGACACCGAGTTCAGTGACCTTTTTCGGCTCAGAGCAAAAATCCATGGCCATAAATCAGGGGAACGGGTCATTAGCAGCTCTTTAAGCACATTAGCTGCTCTTTAAACCAGCAGCCTCCGTCAAACAATCCACAAACTGAGCTCCCTCTTTTCTGTATTACCACTGAATCCCTCTGACAAAGATGACTGTCTGGGTGAAGTCTCTTCCTGGAAAACATGCCCTCGTCCTCTGGCACATCCAGGCCCTCTGGTAGCCAAAACCCATCCCACAGCCCCGATATCTCTGGGACTCCTTTATTTACAGCAGTTTGCAAACTTCTAATGCACCTTTTTATGATACGGTATTAATTAAGTCATCTTTCATGAACCTGCTGTGACATAAAAAGCCAAATGATGGCTTTCTGCAGGAGGAAGAGCATGACATCCACAGTCTAAACTACTGCCATAAAATCATGCTCCAGGACAACAACTAACAAAACCAAAACCAGCAGCTCAGGTCTGCAGAACACAGAGGATTCACAGATAAATCTGAAGCTGGTGCCAAAAAAACAACAGTTTAAAAAGTGTTTTCTATTTTCAGCTCTTTTTTCTTCTCAAAGGACATCAGGACTTTACGCCACAGCAACACAACTTTATTTATTTTCCCATAATGACGATACTGCTCCTTCAATTTTAAGTTAAATCATTGAAAATAAACAGAAAACAGAAAATAACAACTATTATTCTTTTTTCAAATAAAGAATATCAAAGAAATGTAATTTATCAGAATATTAAAAAAAAAAAAAAAGCTGTGTTTTTTTGTTATGCAGTAACATTATGTTAAAAGAAATGAAAAAGTATCTTGGTTTTCGGTGGGCTGCATAACAATTTTAATACTAAAACTTTTCAAATAATCCTGCTCAGGTGGGATTGATATAATTGTGTTGTTGGACAACCAATTAGCTGGTTGAAGCATCAGCCTCATTTCCAGCTGGCTGCACACCGGTCAAACTCAGTTCCACTTGAATGTCACCTTATCTTTTATGCCTTTACTAAGGTGGGCTCAATCCAATTGATTTGATTCACCGTTTCTGGCAACAATTATTGGACCATGTTTTGTTTGCATAAAACATTTTCCCTTTTCAATATTTTTACGTTATTAACTTGCAAAGCACTTTATGTTGGGAGCAGCAGGATAATTAAAAAAACAGTCACATTTTTTAAATCTGAAATATGGTATTGTAGATAGGAAGGTCATAACTAAAAGTATATGCAGTTAAGTGATTTTGAGCTTCCCTCAGCCTACAAAACAGCTGAGGAAGTAGGATGTTTTTGGCCAGGTGGCCACATGCTGCGAACATGGGTATGTTTCCTTATTTCCAAGTCAAAATAAGAAAATTAAAACAGCCATTTAGAAAGTAAATGGAATGATTGGTAGTGTAACCTAAAATGTCTCATTCTTCTACAATCCAAAAAGATTAAAGGGACCTCAGAGGGCTCCTCTTCCACTCCACTGTGGAGCTGTTTAAGTACGCCGATCATTTTGAGTCAGCTCCACGAGCCGCCACACGCCGTTAGCAGCTTGGCTGGAAGTGGTCCACGCAGTGGACTGGGGGACTGGGCATCTCCCTGGGCCTTCCATTCTCTCTGAATCAAACTGAACCAGCCGACAGACTGAACATACGGAGCATGAGATGGGTGTCAGCGTCTGATGGAGCCATCCAGAGAAAGGAAAACATAGAGCCATTTACATGAGGCTGGGCAGCTGCAGTGTTTTCACCCACACAAGCTAAATGTGCTCCATTATGATCATTAATCCAACTAATAAACCCTCATAATTGCCCTAATTCTTTTCTCACTTTTTCAAAAAAGTATGCTTAAAGTAATTCATTTGAATAAATCACACTTATTAAATAAACATTGTCTGTAGCTTAATATCAGATTCCACAATCTAAAGTTTTCTTAATCCAATCTCACAACCAGGAGGAGGTAACATCATGTTAATGCACAAAAGTGAGAAACTAAAGCGTTAATGAACGTTTTGATGAAGCTGATATATGTTCTACATTTAAAATCGGCAGCATGGGTGGAGATTTTTTATGATTTTAGTAAGGATTTATGAACCTTTTCAGACAAGTCTCTGGTTTTATGGGGTTGTTGTTAAACAAATGTGACATTCCATAGTGGGTTTTAAACCTTCTGCTGGTCGAAGGACAAAAAAAGAGTAAGAAATTCAGTCGGAGTTGTAGATGTTCTGATATGTGATTATTTACAGAGAAGAATGAAAAAGAGTAAATTCAATATGTTGTTACTCTGCAAGCATGAAAAGATGCTATCAAACTTTATCCAGCAGGCCATGATGCACAATTGTGATAAGCTTAATGTTTAGAGACGCTAAATGTGTCTCCTGCAAATAAAAACCAGGATTGAAGTTGGAATAGTCAATATAATCCTTACAGGACTCAGTTCTGAATCAGGTCTTAAATAAAAGCTTTCACTTATCCGGTCTGATCAGGCTGGACTGTTTCACAGCTTAATCACTAAGCAGTTTTTAGCCTGCTCACAACCTTGGTGTTTGTTTTTTCACCACTCTGGAGGCAAACGCAAGCAGCAGCTGCTTATTATGGACTTCCGGCTAACTTCCAGCAAGTGTACACACCGGTATGAGGAAATAGTCTGTAAACCAGGTTTGGTTTGGAGCTCTCAGAAAAATGCACTGTAAAAAATGACGGCACGTTATTCTACTAACAACAGAACCAGATATTACGTTTAATGTGTTACTTAGGCTTGATACCTGAGCAACTCGTGTAAATAGAGACCTCGGCCTGTATTTCAGTTTGTCCTTTTTTCACAACAGTCAGTGAGTGAGCTGCCAGCAGACTGGCAGTTTTTGTTTTCCTTTTGGTCTGAATGTTGCTTTCATGGCACTTACATCAGACATTGTGGTCGGGAAACCTGTTTCTCTGCAAATTGGGTGATAATGAGCAGTGCCCACTCTTGTGGTGTGCACATAACACCTTCGTTAGTGTCATCATCCGGGTGAACTGTCTCATCTACACTGATCAGAGCCCAGTCCATAAATATCAGAGTCTCCTGCAGTCATCTGATGTGGGGCTCTTTCTGACTGCACTCAGAACCAGCTGCTCGTGTCGGGGGGGGGCTTTCCACCAGCCATAAACAAGACTCCAGCTGATTTCACATCATCATTTTATATTTACCAATTAGCTTCGAAATCCAATGGTGAACATGTATGCTACACCTTAAATATTCATGGTATTGTGTTGAAAATATTGATCTGGAGTTCTTGTATGAAGTATTTAATCAGACTGCCCTGAAAAGCTGAATCGAGTTTTACTGTCTCACAGCAAGGGGCAAACTACAGTACAGCAGACTACAGCATGGGAGACTCTTTCCCCTGTAAGGTCCATGCTTTGAGAAAACAGAAACCCTCTAATAATTCATGCATCTTACAGCTGTATTTCTTCCAGCTGTTGGAGGAAGCTGCCATCTCTTGTTGAATCTGCACAGCAGGAATTGACTGACAGTAAAGAAAAAGGGTTTGAGAAAGCAATCACAATGAAATCTGGAGTTATGGTCCCAAAAGATGCCGTTAGCTAACAACACAGCGACTTGCCCATCTCTCCTTTCTTCAACCTACACAATTTTTGTGATGTGAACAAAAACAGGAGAGATCTGACATTTCTGGTGCGTTTCATGATAGACAAACATGTTTGCCTAAAACTGAAGACAGGGTTGTTCCAGCAGAAGGTCCTGTATGTAAAAAGAGAAAGCCTGTATCTGGAATATCTCAAACTCAAAAGGAATTGGATTTAATTCTGTATCGATTTCCTCTAATTTTATCAACACTAAGGAGCTGCCTGCAGGATTCGTTAAAAGATGTTAACTGGTACGAGGCATGGTGGCTCATCCAAATTAGCCTGAACAAATGGAAGGAAGAGCACCCATTAACACAATGTATTGGCAGCAGGAGCCATTTGGGACATGAATGGAGATGATTTACGAGTCAGCGGGACGGCGTGCACTGAAGCAAACACAAGTTTAACCCACAGATTTCACAGGCCTGGCTGGTTGGTAGAAGCTTATCATGATATCTTTTCTTAATTAAAGTTCTAGAAACAAAATTATTCAGTAGTTTACCAACGGTTATGTTTCCAGTTGCTAAACTGTAACTTACACACAGGCACTAAATTAGACTCCCACTAAAGTAGGAATCAATGCATTTCCTTAAAAATTTATTGCGCTCTTAATTAAAAGCGGACACTCTTCGCATGGCTCGTTTCCTGATCTTGCAGACTTTTAATTCTTAATTAACGCTTACCGTTTGACAATGAATCGGATTCCGTGGCGCTCGTCCAGGATGCGTTTGAGCTTGGGCACTCCATATGTACACGGCCTCTTGAAGGGGATCTGATCAGGAATGCCGATGATCTCCACGGCTCCTGGATCGCAGGCGATTTTGCGGTAGGGGACAGGCACCATGTGATCCAGACCCAGCGCCTCCGCTGGCAGAGGGACAAAGAATATGTGAATCAATTTGGCCCTGCTGTAAAGAAGAAAGGATTTAGGTGCCACCTAGACTCCTTCAAATGTTGCTCGTTTAGTCCAGCAGATAGAGCTGATACTAAACAAGCCCTTATGTGCATGAGGATAATGAGCCTCCAGTAGGACACAGAGCTTCATGGCAGATTTACTGAAATTAAATGTTTTTGTTACATGAAAAAAATAAAAACTTTAAGGGAATAATAACGAATGGTGCTGTGGTCTTTGATAGGGGACCCATTGAGCACTAATAGAGAATCTGTAAGTAGACACACTAACAATTTTTAAACAATTTAAAAAAAAAATTTAAACGGAGAGCAAATCAATGCAAACATGAATTTCTCTTTTTAAACTGCGTCTGATGCAGCTTTGTTGAAAGTAGCACTTTGCTGTGGTCGTAAAAGCTTGTTTTGTGTTTATCTGAAGAACAGACAGACTCAGCATCCTCAGGCTGAGCACGGACAAAAGCCTGAAGAGGCAGAGACACCTGTGTGAAGCGCATCTTTGTTATGATGCCCCCCCCCTTTTACAAATCAAACCCTCCTCACCATATCTGCTGTTGAACAAGATCTGAACACATTCTCTCAATGTATTGATGTCTTCGGTTTCCCGAATGAACGCGTCCCATTTTTCTGAAAGAAGAAAAAGTAAAGAGACATCTCCTGTCAACACCCATATTCTCCAACAGAACCCAGATAGAGCAATACAGCTCTGGAGTTGCGGACTTATTGGATATGTTCTTGCTCCAGCTGGAGCAGGTAAACTAATCACAGTCTATAATGTGAAGCCAACAGGCCGCTGCTTCTTGTTTCAGACAGGAAGTCTGAAAACAAGCAGCAGCTCCACATTCAGATCAATCTTTTGTGGTGTTTAAAGATTCTGATTGCAAAGCTCTGGGCAGAGGCTTCATCACAGGCTTCTGCAGGTCATTCTCAAGCACAAAATCCATCTCACTCCAGAGAGACTCCACAAAATGCAGACTACTATCTCTCAGTCAGTGTCGTCACATCTGCTGCTCGTGTTTTATGGTGCTTTGTGTCGCCTTTATCTATTTATGGGTTTCAGTTATTTTTCTATTGCTTGTCTAACTAATTTGTTTAATTATTATTTCGTCATAGTTGTATTTTATTCATGTATTACTTTTTTTTGTTTTTTCAGGGATGAAGGTAAGAGTTGGCGAACACACAAAGACTTCTGGGGCCATCTGTCTTAGTCAAATGTCCCAAATGAACATGTGATACACGATTGTTAGTTTAAAAAACAGCCGGCTGCTTTAACGTTCTCGGTAACCTACCTGATTTCTCATGCACGATTGAGAAGAGGAGCCTCTTAGAGATGTGGATGCCAGGTGGGCTCTGACCCTGCTCACCAGATAGTCTTGTTGGCTCATCTGAAAATGCAGTGAAAACAAAAAATAAATGAAAGATGTTGCAGTCGTTCAAACAAAGTTGCTTTTAGACTAATTAAACTACCTGAGTTACAGGTGAAAAAGAACAGATTTTTTTTTCAGGGTGATGTTTGTATTGTTTCCAGAGGTACTTTCAGGATTAAAGTCCAACTGGGAGTAAACATACCTATAAAGACTAAGGGCAGTGAGTCAAATGGTATGTTATGTTTGTGTAGTCATGTGGTGGTGGGCTTCCAATAACAGGAATCCCTGTTTAAACCCACAGTGGACAGCATGCACGCACACTCACCAGTGCTGCTGCTGTCCTTCCCAGAGCAGCCCTTATCTGTCCAGCTGCTCTGCCTCTCTTTTCCCAGGTTGAGCAGAGACAGTGGTTTGAAATCCAGCTTCCCATCTGGGTGTGGTTTGGAGGACATGGGCATGCCGTACAGGAAGTTGGACAGAACCCCAGAGTTACTGGAGGTGGTGGGACTGGGTGAAGGGACCGTTTGGGCAGATGGCTTCCCTGGAGCGTGGCTGCTCACAGCGTTGGAAGAGTTTTGATTGGCATCAGTGCTGGACTTGGCTTCTCGAGACAAATCCTCTGCTGGCCTGTGTAAAGAAAAACAAATCACAAACAACATTAAAACAAGCAGTTTGGTAGATAAACCGTTGCTGTTAAATCTATTTTCTAGATCCCATCCCTTTGATGAATAAGGGGCGAAACCTACATTTAGATGGGACACTTTCTACTCGCTGCGTTTTATGCTTCCTCTGGTCCATGCAGCTGACTGACCAGAGATGGATCAGAGGCTGCACAGTTACAGTTTTCCATCAGTCCATCTTTAACTTCATTATACAGTGGCAGAAACAGGAAATCCCCTATTTGCTCTGAGCATAAGCATGTGACAGTTCCTATCACTACATGTAGAAACCTAAAAGACCACTTCAGATCAGAGGGGCTTTTAATAGAAAACAGTTGCCTGGTTTGTTGTCCCTTTTTAATCCTATTAAGATCAAATGAGTCTTTACGAGTACAAGAAACCAAAAAAACATCAGAAGGTTTTGACTGAGGTCTTGTGACAATCTGGTGATGTAGATAGATAGGCTGGGTAAGCTTCCAGCACCAAGTGGCAGCTTTACTTACTAACTGGCACAATCACAGAACAAATGATTTCTGCCATTTTAGGGTTCCAGTTTGTTAAAGCCTCTTTCATCGAATTATCAGCAGCTGTGCATCTGATAATCCTTCAAATTTGTGGATTTCATTGTCGCTTCCCAAACTTAGATCTAATTGCAACAGAAGAGCAATGTTGTATTCTTTTAGGGGGCTTTATGTTGTTTAATGGTTAATGGGCTGGACTTTTATAGAACTGTTCTTGATTAGTTTTACTCACTTACATTGAATACAATTAGTCTATGTAACCTTTTTAAGTCTATTGTTCTTCTTATCCGATCACACACACATTCAAACACAGACAGACCCACCAATTAGGACACCCTGAGTTGTGACCTGTTGAACAATTTATAGTTTACCTGCCACACATTTTGAGTCACCACCTACACTGGGAGCCCCTACAGACATTCATGAAGCACCGCAGCCACTGGTGTGGCTCTGGTGTGGACACCTGGCTGGGGAAAAGCAATCCACACTCAGTTCTATAATACTGAGCACTTGGAACCACTTTTTAAGCTGCTTTAGAACTGGATGAGGAGTTGGTTCAGACAGAGGTGATTAAATGACTCATCATCCAGAGCCACATGGGACCAGATCTTAGGATAACTGCTGTCTGTGTTCAGGTGTCTGTGCTCTGCTATCTGGACATATAATAGTACTGTACAGGATGAGGAAACAGGAGAGAGGGATCATTTTCTGCAGTTGCACATGAGCTGGCTCTAGTAGCAGCTCTGAGTGGAACACTTCCTGTGCTGGCTGGAATGATCACCCGCAATATCAGAAACAATCCTGTAAACATAACTTAAAGGGGGATAACATTGTTGAATTGAAACATAATACATTTGGAATCACTGGTGAATAGAAAGCAACTTGCTATGTGTGATTTCTGGTGAAAGTGGCCACATATAGCCATACAAATGAGACTCTGGCCTGAGAAAATGACTGGATTCTATGTGAGAAACATTGGATTAGCCCCCAGATGAGTCAACAGTCACAGTATGCTGGCTAGATTTAGGAGTTGCCATTCAAACATGAAATTATGGAGCCTTTTGCTGCAGGCCCAAGGACTGTGGACAACCATAACGGACAACTCAAGCTGCAGCCAATGTTTTACTTTACCAAATGCGCTTTGAGATGGCTAATGATTAAGCCCGTTTTGAAACCCTGTGCTGAATTGAAACCTTTTCTATCCGACCCAAATTTCCACAGTGAGCTACCAAAAATGTCTTGAACGAGAGCCCAAAACAGATGTGTGCCTTCAGGCGCAGGCTGTTTCTTATGCGAGATAGATTTGCCTGCTCTGACCTCACAGACTCACCTTTTTACTGTGAAGTGGATGCGGTGGCTCTGCTCCAGAATCTTCATCAGTGTTTTGGTGTCGTACTCTGAAGGTTTCTTCAAAGAGACTCCCTCGGGCAAGCCATGGGCCACCACACAGCTTGGGTCCTTCTGGATCCACTCGTAAGGCACAGGGACCAGGTTGCTCTTCCCGACAGCCTCACCTGCACGCACACAACGCACACAACGCACACTGAGCACAGCGTTTGGGCAAGCTGCTGCATAAGAGCTCAAACTGTCCTCATGCCACCCAGCAGTGGCCCAACAGGACGGAGAGGCTTAAAACACGCCCCGTTTGTTCTTACTGTAAAGAACAGTGAAGACCTCCTCCACCAGTTTCCTCAGAACAAAGATGTTGGACGGGAGATCAGAGGAGGCTCTCTGTTTCCCAGGCTCCCCGTCTTTGCCCACTTTGCTGAGGTCACCTTCCGGGTCTTTGGTATGGGCATTTGCTGCCGTCAGATTCTGCAGACACGGCACCCCTGAAGCCAAGAGAAGAAAGCCTTTAAAGAACATTATAAACCGCAACGCATCCAAACATTTCATGTATATTGGTGTAAAAGACTTTGTTGGATATTTAAAAAGGTTATTTTGCTCATTTTATATTTGTCCTACAAACAAGACAGTTTCAAGGCTGACAGAATGTATTTTTCATAAGATATACTGTTAGCATTTGTTTCTCTAACGAGATTAAATACTGTACATGTAAACAAAAGGCAATTGTTCCAAATAACAGGCTGGATAACTAATTCCTTTGCACACAAAAGCTAATAAACATCTACTGTGTAATAGGAGAGCTTCCAACCCTTCAGAGGTTAGAGCAAAACGTTAAGATGTGTAAGAGCTTGTGAACATGGTGTGGACAGTAATGATAATGTTTGTACGCTCCACTGGTCAGCTTCCCTCTGATTCAGCCACAATGTGCACGGCAGCATTCATTCAATCTCTCCTTAAAACGGGCTGAAGCTGTGAGGAGCGCCGTTTGCCACGCTGCTATCGCAAGGCCTTTTCTAAAACAACAGAGCTTGTTTATAAGTTAATTTATCTGATAAAAGTAAGTGGGACGACGACTGCTTAGTAGATTGTATTACTTCATGTGGAAGATGTGATGAAAAACTGCAGGCTGCAGCAGTTAGTCCTGCTTTTGGCTGAATGTGCTGTTCTGTGATCACAAAACTGTGAAAATCCAACAAGGACGCAAGTCACCCGGGTTCTTTCGCTACAGCTGTGTCACAGCTGGGATTCTAACGAAGGGGGAAAAGGCTGCATCGCCAAGAACTCAGAGAAAAAAACAGGTTTGGATCAGAGCTTACGGCAAAACTTGTAGAAGTCTGTCTGGATCTCCCTCCTGGAGTTGAGGAACACTCTGCCCTTCTCCGTTCCCACGGCAATCACGCTGTCCTCGTGCACGGTGACGCAGGCCACCTCAGCATTCAGTTTAGACATCGCCATGCACTGGAACACAGGAAAGCAGACGTCACCCATCAGAAGTCAGAACAACTCCCTGATGCAGAGCTTTCTTATCTAGAGTGTCTCTACAGAGCTCACATGCACACAGAGACTTATTCTAGGACAGGTTTGCACTTAAGAAAAAACAGAAATCTGAAAGTGTCTCCAGACATACCACAGAGTCCAGGGCAGACACCAGACTGGTGAGGATCTCCTGTCTGGCTGACAGCAGCGGGACGTGTGTCTCGCCGCGGGGGTTTGTCCTGATGCCATCACCTGTCAGCCTCCTCATCTGAGCCATGCCTCTGCGGGGAGCAGAGGGGCGGGGTTAGAGCCAAACAGACATCACCTGTGAGGGATCCGCTGACATCACAGCGTCGGCCTTTGAGCAAACACAGCTTTGCACTATGAGCATCAAGCTGGGAACCAAAGCTGCTGAGAGCCGGGCGGCTAAGAGGAGAGACGCCAACATCTGCTAAGAAGCAAGTTAGCATGAAGCGATACAGATCCAGCATGTTCACATTAACTCAAAACCTAATAATGACAGTTAAGTTCAGGGTGCTGATGGTTGAATGCATCTTTGGAGTCCTTACAGCCACGGTGCTGCAAACATCCTGCTTGAGCCCTCCAGTTTAAGCGATCCAGCTCCTGCATTCCATCCTAAAGACCTGACCCTGGATCTAAGGGATCATCGCAGACTGGAGGATTCATCCTCCAGGGGCTGTAATGGGATACACAAACTCTCATGGAGATACATGACTACAAAAGGTCTCTCCCTGGAGTCGTGCTTCTAGCGCTGCTAAAAGCCAAATCCATCTAAAGCCAGAATAGATGCTTTGCCTCCATCAGTAGAGATGATTAGAGCACTCAAAATGATGTCATCTGAGCCCGTTATGCTTTATTTTCCCTCCTTGACAGATGGCAGAGGCAAAGAGGTATTGATGGGCAGGATGTGTCCTCACATTTCCAGCGGGACTGCAGATGGATCCAGCTGAACCCTCCCTTCAGTCAGAGTTTCAGCTAGGTGAAGTATGCAAATACAAGCAAAGCGCCACACAGATAGGAAGTGCTGTAGAAAGAGCGCTGGGCTAAAGCCGGGCACCATGTTCTCATGGCAACTGAAACTCGTCTCCTTGGAAACTAATCTCAGGGCATTTGAACAATGCGGCTCTGGCCTTTAATCTCTCCAGACACTGGGAACCATTATGCTAGCCTCTGGCAAGCCCAAACAACTGACTCAATAGAGAGAGACAGAGAGGGAGGGGTGGGTGTGGTGGGCCTCGGCGGCAGCGGTCTGAACGGGCCAAGTCTGTTGGCCATCTAAATCTGCCTCCCCCGAGGCCTAGGCAAACATTAGCCCCCTCCTAAACGATTATGGCCTCAAAATAGATGGCCTCTTTCCCTCACATATTTAGAAGGCAGAGGAAGTGGCGGGGAGGAGAGCGGGGGGGATGAGGAGAGGCCTGTCGATGGCTCTGAGGCAGCTCAGGTGTCACGGCGGCGTGGAGCCCCCCTCAGAGATCAGGCAACGCCAAACTGACCCTCAGGTCAGAAGAAAGACACTTCACAAACTCTGACCTCAGGCCCTCTGTTGCTGTTGAATCACAAACTGTGGACATACCGGGACTCCTCTGACTCCCTTTCAGAGAACCAACCACCAACTCATCACAGCCCATAGGGAGGGGGGGGGTCCACTTTCCTATACAGTACATTTCTTATCTTTTGACACATGATAAATCTAGTCGTATGAAAGAATAATCCAATTAAGTGTAAAACCAACTCTGGTCTTACTAGATTGCAGGATTTGTGAATAACAGGAAGGACTAGTGGAACCACAGAGCCTCGATCGGTGTCTAATTACGAGCCCCTCACTGTAGAGCCCTTCCAGCAGTTCAAAATGTGTCATTTCCATCGGACCTTTAAGAGAATATAATCATTTCAATTTAATGAGGACCTACAGCGATCAATAATGGACCAAGGCTGTTTAATGACAAGAGCAGTACTGGGAAATGGTCATTATCCCATAAAAAATAGCAATAACAACTGGCTGAATAACAATAACAACAATAACAATAATGTGCTTTGTGAATAATAACTCTGGGAATCTAAAGTCATTTTCCATTCACCTGTGTGAACAGCTTAAGATCGAGTTTTGGTACGCTGACTGGACAGGGAGGACCTTTAACAGGCAATCATCTTACTCTCCTCTCATTTTTATGTCCAAATGATGGTATAGTATTTTCAAGAACCAAACAGGAAGCTGTTTGGTTCACCAGGTGTGTCCTCTGGACCTAAGAGCTCCAAGACCTCTTCAGTTTCCTCTCAAACTGCAGCGTGCTTTGTATAATCATGGCCTGACCTTTGAGGACAAATAACACATTAATACAGACAAGACCCCCGTCCACCGTGTGGCTTTCTCTCAGAGGACCAGCCTCACCTGGACCAGACCCTCACTGCATTCTAACTGACCGGCTGCAGCCACAGACCCTGACCCCACCCCTCCAACAGGTCAGGAGGCAGAGCCCCCTAAAACGCCAGGGCTGCTGCTGGAGGATGGACATCTGTCTGGGACACGCCAGACGCCTGCTCCTTTTTAAGCGGAGGCCTTCTGTCACCCCTCCTGTGACAGGACACGTCTGATCCCAGTGAAGCTAGACACATGAATTGATTTGACTGAATTAAAGCTGCACAAGGTTAAGCATAAACCAGGGTTTAAAGTCTAAACGTCATGGAGCTCTGATGTGAGTCTCAGGGAACGATTCAATTTTGGTTTATTCCACCATTATGAAGACTCACTAACAATCGACTGGAGAAAAGACTTCTGCTCTATCAACAACTCTGAACAGGTTAACTTTACCACTCTATAAGCCTGATTCTACTGTCAGGACGTATTATTTCCCGAGGCTCAGGAAAACTAAATACTCTGTATTGAACATGACTGTTAGAGTAAATGCAGAATAAACCTCTGAGAGGGTCATTCACTGGTCGCAAAGGACTGGAAATGAACTATTAATCTTATTACTTAACTTCACCTTGATGTGTATATGGCAGGCCTTAGTTTTACCTCTGCTGAACATACTAAGAATGTTCAGAAAGTCAACTCCATCCCTCCATTTTCTCCTGCGGAGTCGGGTCATGGGAGCAGCGGCCTGAGCAGGAAACCCAGACTTCCCTCTTCCGGCCAGCTCCCCCCCGCTCCCCCCGCTCCCCCAGCTCCTCCAGCCCCCCCCCCGCTCCCCCACCTCCTCCAGGGGATCCCGAGGCGTTCCAGGACAGCCGAGAGACGCTGTGTCCCTGCTGTGTCTTCGTCCGGGCCTCCCCCCGGTTGCCTCCCCCCTAACCAGGAAGCCACCGGGAGGCGTGCCCAGACCGGACCAGATACCCGGACCGGACCAGATGCCCTCACCGCCACATCTGGCTGCAGCTCTGAGCCCCTCCTGGAGAAGAGCTTCTCACTATCTCTGACAAAGACCCGTTTGGGCCGCCTGTATCTGTGATCGCGTTCTTTGGGCCACAGCTCCAGACCAAAGGCCAGGAAGGCAGATCGGCCAGTGAGTGGAGAGCTTTGCTTCTTGGCTGAGCTGCCCCCTCACCTCACAGACCGGAGCAGAGTCTGCATCCCTCACACTGAGCTGCCATCGATCCCCCCCCCCCCCCGGAGCCAACACAACTACCTAATCTGCAAAGATCCCAGATCCAGCCCCGAGGCCACCAAACCAGACCCCCTCAACGCCTCGGCTGCGCCTAAAGATTCTGTCCATACAAGTTAGGAGCAGAATCAGTGACACAGTCCATCCATCCATCCATTCTCCCCCGCTTATCCGGGTCCGGGGGGGCAGCAGCCGGAGCAGGGAGACCCAGACTTCCCTCTCCCCCGCCACTTCTGCCAGCTCCTCCAGGGG